TTCTATTGTATTCATTGTACATTCTTTTCCTATTTGAGTTCCAGCGAGTTGGGGATTTCTTTCTGTTCGTTGATTTAGGAAGGTCCCGGCGGGTGGACTACGTTCGGACGCGCAAATCCCTGCTCATGCAGCGGCTCGAAGCTCCAAGCTATTATTTTACTAAATAATGTGATGCTTTTTCAGCCTCTGGTGGAGAGACTCATAAACTGCTTTTTGAATTTCTTCCTTGCGCTCCTGTAGACCCACGCGGAAGATTTAATTTGAGAAGTAGGTTCAACACTAGAGTTCGAACAGCAAAGTCCGCAATTCAAACCCACCAGCTCCTCAAAAACCCTATACAGGGTCGTTATACGTCAGAACCCACTGGACAGCACTTATCATTTGTTGTTGTTGTTAGGTGCCATGTAGTTGGTACAATAGAACGAAACACTGCCATGTCCTGTGCCAACCTCATAATCTTTGCTACACTTCATCCCGTTGCTGCGGCTGTGCCAGTTCGTCTCGCTGGGGGTGTGGGCTGTGGGGGGGTGTATTCCTCTTTTTCTTACTCCTCCACTTTCCAAACATGATATCCTTCTCCAGGGACTAGTCCCTCCTAATAATATGTCCAAAGTATAATAGACAAAGTCTATTTGGCTTCCAAAGAGTGTTCTGGCTGTACTTCGTCCAACACAAATATTTGTTCTTTTGTTAACTCAAGGATACTTTCAATATTCTCCTCCAACACCATAACTGAAATGCATCAGTTCTTCCAAGGTTTTTCCTTGTTCGTTGTCCAACTTTCATATGCATATGAAGTTTTTGAAAATGCCATGGCTTAGGTCAGGCACACCCTAGTTCTCAAACGGATATCTTTGCTCTTAAAGGTTTATAGAGAGGTCTTGTGCAGCAGATTTGCATAACACAATACGTCGTTTGATTTCTTCCCTGCTGAGCGTTGATAGTTGAATAGAGCAAGACAACGTCAATCTTTCCTCCACTTACATGAATGTGGTTTATTGGTCCAGTGGTGAGGCTTTTTGCTTTCTTTACATTGAGGTGCAAGCCATACCCAAGACTGTCGTCTTTGATATTTATCAATTAGTATTTTAAGTCCTCTTCACAACTCAAAATGAAGAAAAACAGCTTTAAACATCCAGTAGTAATTGGAACATGGAATGTATGAAGTATGAATCTAGGAAAATTGGAAATTGTCACAAATGGAATGGAATGTATAAACATCGATATCTTAGGCATTAGTGAGCTGAAATGGACTGGTATTGGTCATATTGAATCTGACAACCACATGGTTTCTATGCCTGGAATACAAATTGGAGAGAAATGGTGTTGCATTCATTATCAATAGGAACTTAACAAGATCAGTCATGAGGTACAATGCTGTCTGTGATAGGATAAAATCCATGCACCTACAGGGAAGACCAGTTAATACCACTATTACTCAAATTTCCACACCAACCACTAAAGCTAGTGAAGATGAGATAGATGAATTCTACCAACTTCTATCTGAAATTGATCAAACATGCAATCAAGATGTATTGGTCATAATACACGATAGAATGAATGTAAAACTAATGTTCTCCCATGTAAACTATCACATAATTCACAATAAAACATTTAAAAAAATGTAAAAAAAAAAAGATGTATTGGTCGTTACTGGTGATTGGAATGCAAAGGTTGGAAACAAAGATGAAGGATCAGTAGTTGGAAAATATGGCCTTGGTGATAGAAATGATGCTGGAGATTGTATGATAGAATTCTGCAAAACCAATGATTATTTCATTTCAAATACCTTCTTTAGACAGCATTGTTATTGTTGTTAGGTGCCATGGAGTTAGTACTGACTCATAGAGATCTTATGCACAACAGAACAAAACACTGTGTGGTCCTGGGCCAACCTCACAATTGTTGCCATGCTTGAGCCCATTGATGCTGCCATTTTGCCAATCCATCTCGCTGGGGGTCTTCCTCTTTTTTTCTGACCCTCCACCTTCTTCAGCAACTGCTTCCTCCTAACATCCTACTCCAGTGACTGGTCCCTCCTGACAACATGTCGGAAGTATGAGAGATGATGTTTGGCCATCCTGGCTTCCAAGGAGCACTCTTCCAACACAGATCTGTTTGTTCTTTTGCAATTTTTGCAACCCATATTTTCTGTGTATTCCATCTGGTGAGGTCCATGTGTATAATCATCTCTTTTTTGTTTTTTTCTTTCTTAAATGTTTTATTGTGAATTATGTGATAGTTTACCTGGGAGAACATTAGTTTTACATTCATTCTATCGTATATCATCTCATTGCCATGGTTACAATCCCCTCCATGCAATCCTTCCCCCGTGTCCCCCAGGTCTTCAGCACACAATCGCTCTCCCTCTCTGGATCTAAAGTCTCCAGCTGCTCCATCGCTCCACTTCATCATCTCTGGCTCTATTTCAGGCATCACCGCTTCACTGGGTAGGATCCTGCTCTCTGCTCTTCTCCCTTGATGGTCCTAGGGACCTCCACTCCAAGACTGAAAAGTTAATCACTCCCCTCCTTGTTATAAAACGTCTATCTTTACATTTCCAACCATCACAATCAGTCCTGATAACAATTATTCACTATTGTATCACAGGAGACCCGCCTGCATTTCATTGCATCAGCCCGGCCTAGTCAGATTCAATACTACTCACTGGAGAGTCTACCTTCCTCCAGGCCCTCTGGATCTAGATTCCCTCTTGAAAGCTTGTAAGCCAGTCACTTCTTGCCTTTGAAGCCCTCCCGCCCCCCATTTTGGGTGGCCAATGTCCAAGTTGCCCATCCCTGTCTACTCTGTGTGTGGAGGGGGTGGGAGTGATTCTTGCTGTAAGGACTTGTTTCCTCTTTTGAGCTACTGCTTCCATAGATGTAGGTCAAGTTCATCAAACTGTATGAGAATACTTTTTTTTTTTTTTTTCTTCCTCTTCTTTTTACTTCTGGTTGAGCTCTGATCACCCAGTCACTGAAACCAGGATAAATGGGTATTATCTGCAATATAATCATCTCTTATGCTGTCTAACTTCCAGAGGTTCAAGCCAGTTTCAGAAGAAGATGTGGAATGAGGGATATCATTGCTGATGTCCGATGGATCTTGGCTGAAAGCAGAGAATACCAGAAAGATGTCTACCCGTGCTTTACTGACTACACAAAGGCATTTGATTGTGTGGATCATGACAAGCTACAGACAACATTGCAAAGTATGAGTATTTTGGAACACTTAATTGTGCTCATGAGGAATCTGTACCTGGACCAAGAGGCAGTTGTTCGAACAGAACATGGGAACACTGAATGGTTTAGAATTTAGAAGGTGTGCGACAGGGTTGTATTCTTTCACCATACTTATTCAACCTGTATTGTCAGAAGGGACCAGTCACTGGAGAAGGATATCATGTTTGGTAAGGTGGATGATCAGAGAAAAAGAGGAAGACCCCCAGTGAGATAGATTGACAAAGTGACAGCATCAATGGGCTCAAGTGTGGCAACAATTGTGAGGAAGGCAGTGTTTCGTTCTGTTGTGCACAGGGTCGCTATGAGTCAGTACTGACTCCATGGCACCTAACATCAACATCAACATCACTTTCAGCAAGCAAGGTTGTATCATCTGCCTACCTCAGGTTGTTAATACAACCCTGGTGCACCCCTTCCCTAATTTTAAACCATTCGGTGTTTCCCTGTTCTGTCCCAACAACTGTCTGTTGGTTTACGTACAGGTTCCTTACTATCACAATTAAGTATTCTGGAATATTCATTCTCGCATTGTTGTCCATAGCTTGTCATGATCCACACAACTGAAAGCCTTTGCGTAGTCAATAAAGCACAGGTAAACATCTTTCTGGTATTCTCTGCTTTCAACCAAGATCTATCTGACATCAGCAGTGATATCCCTCGTCCTCCTCTGAATAGGCTTGAACCTCTAGAAGTTCTCTGTCAGTGTATAGTTGCAGCCGTTTTGTATTATCTTTAACAAGATATGCAGGTGTGCAAAATTGAGGGGTGATTGTGGTGGTGCTGTGGGATCAGCACTGGATTGTAAATCATAAGACTGGCAGTTCAAATCCACCAGAGGCTCCTGATAATCTGTATACAGAGTTGTTATGAGTTGGAACCTATTTGACAGAATTTAACAACAATAGTGATAGCACTTAACAACAACAAAGTGGTAGTGGAGTAACTAGACACCAAGATGCACTTTTTGGTACACATTCTATGTGAATTTTTCTAAATTTAAACCCAAGTTCATATAACCCAAGGAAGCTTACTTTTCCTGGAAAAAGACTTGGCACATCCTTATGCCTGAAAACCAAGACTATGGAATGAGAATGAGCTTCCAGACTACACACAGGGAAATGAACTGATGAAATTACTAAAAGAGGTTCTGCCTTCTTCAGAAACCATAGGCATGGACATTGCTCAGTATACAGAAGAAGGAGGGGGGACTAATTATAAATCCTAGCATTTTTTCTTCTTTCCCCCTTTAGAGGTTGAAGAGTGTCACAGAAGCAAATACTTCTCCTACTGCTACAAATTTCCCATTCAGAACTCCCTACACTTCCCTGTTTCAAGGGCTCATTCCCCAGCTTCTTGCAGGCCCTGGACTGGATACTTGTTAATCAGAATTCAATGGATTTGGGAAATAAAACCTTGTTTACGGCTTTTCAAGGTCTTGGAGAAGTGTACTTTGAAGGGTTAGATTAATATCCTTTCAGGGGAAAGCTAGGTCTTCCCGATATTAGTATTCCAGACTCCCAAAAAAAGTTCATCCAAGGCGAGACACAATGGCAAGTAGTTCTCTGGGGCGTAAGGCGTTTCCAGATACTGGGGGTCCCAAACAGTCTGCACCATGCCAGGGGCCTCTGTGACACGGCGTTCCAGACCGTCAGGCCTGCGCATCACAGGCGCCTCGGAATGCGGTCAGAGTCCTCGAGCCTTTCGGTTCTCCGGAAGCAGCACGCTGCTAGGGCCGCAGGAGAGGAGTGGTTCGACAACATGAGCTACTATCAGCTTCCGGTGGTGCTCGACAACGGCTCGGGAGTGATCAAGGTGGGCCTGGCTGGGAGCCGGGAGCCCCAGTTTGTCTATCCGAACATCATTGGCCGCGCCAAGGGTCAAACCCTGGCCGCCAAAGACTTGGAAAAACTGTTCGCGGGCGACCAAGCGCAGGAGAGACGCAGCTCACTGTCTATCAGGTACCTAAGGCTTAGGCTGGGGTAGGCTGGGCGAGTTCGCTTGGCTGCCAGGGTACTTGACAGGCGAGGAGGGAAGGGAGTAAGATAGAGGGGCGCAGGCGTGTAAGGGTGATGTGTTGTTATCTTGCTGTAGAATCCGTTTTCTGACTCTTAGAGACCCTGTGTTTACCAGCTCAGTGCTTATCCTACAAGGCCACAGGAATTATCCTACAAGGCCACAGGACGTTATTACAACCACATGGGCCAAGGTTGTTGTTAAATGCCGTGGAGTCTATTCCGACCCATAGCAACCATGTATAGGGTTTCTGAGGAGCAGCTGATGAACTTGAACCACCGACCTTGCAGTTCAAACGATTTTACAGTCTGACACATTAGCCCACAGCGCCATACCAGGACCTCTTAATAACTATTTACAGATTTGTTTGCCTTCCAGTTGGTTCCGATTCATAGCCATCCTGTATAGTTTCAAAGAACGGCTGGTGGGTTTGAACCGCCGACCTTGCAGTAAGCATCACATGATTTCTGTATCTATACAAATGTATTCCATTGTAAAAATAAAGTTGTTCATAAAATGCCAGTTAATTTAAGAAGAGAAATCCAGGTGATACAGTGATTAAAGCGCTTGGCTTCTAACGAAAAGGTCGGCACTTCCAAAGGTGAAGATTTTTGTTGTTAGGTGCCATCGTGTCGGTTCCTACTCATAGTGACCCTGTCTATATAGGGTTTTCCAGGGGCAGCTGTTAGGTTTGAACCGCTATTTTACCATGCAGTACATTATCCAGCACTTAACAACAACAACATTATCCTGCAGTGCCACACCAGTACTCCACAGTAAGATGGCTGTTGTTAAGTGTCGTCAAGTCGGTTCCCACCCATAATGAACTTGTATTGGGTTTCCTAGGAGCGACTGGTGAGCTTGAACCGCTGATCTTGCAGTTCAAACTGACTTTGCAGTCCAGCGCATTAACCCGCAGCACCACACCAGGGCTGTAAAGATTACAGCCTTAGAAATGGTAAAAATTGGTGGTGGTGGTGGTGGTGGTTTTGTGACATGGAGCCGGTTATCACTTATAGTGACCTTGTAGAGGGTTCCCAAGGCTGTAAATCTTTAGGGGAGCAGAAAATCACATCTTTCTCCCGCGGAACAGCTGGTAGTTTCGAACTGCTGACCTTAAGGTTCACAGCCCGATTTGTAACCACTATGCTACCAGATTACTTAGGAAGCCATATAGGGCAGTTCTGTGTTCTTTAGGGTCCCTATGAGTCAGACTGAACACTTGGTTTGATTTGGCTTTAGATTTAAGAATGTTATTTAATTCATGGTACCTTTTGTCATTATGATTGTTTTCTTCAGTTACTGATATTAAAACTATTGTTGTTATTAGGTGCCGTCCAGTCGGTGCCGACTCTTAGCGACTTTATGCACAACAAAATGAAACACTGCTCGATACTGGACCAAACTCACTATTGTTGCCATGCTTGAACCCATTGATGCTTCCACTTGGCCAATCCATTTCTCTGGGGGTCTTCCTCTTTTCCTCTGACTCTCCACCTTACCAAACATGATATCCTTCTCCAGCAACTGGTCCCACCTGACAATATGTCCGAAGTAGGAGAGACCAAGTTTAGCCATCCTGGCCTCCAGAGAGCACTCTGGCTGCACTTCTTCCAACACAGATCTGTTGGTTCTTTTGGCAGCCCATGGCACTTTCAATATTCTCCTCCAACAGCATAACTCAGATGCATCAATTCTTCTACTTCTACGGTCTACCTTATTCACTGTCCAACTTTCACATGCATATGAAATTATTGAAAATACCATGGCTTGTGTTAGGCGCACCTTAGTCCTCAAGCTGACATCTTTGCTCTTCAACACTTTAAAAAGGCCTTGGGCAGCAGATTTGCCTAATGCAATCTTACCTATGATTTCTTGACTGCTGCTTCCATGAGTGTTGATAGTTGATCCAAGAAGAATGAAGTCCTTGACAACTTCAATGTTTTCTCCATTGATAAGAATGTTGTTTATTGGTTCAGTGGTGAGGATTTTTGTTTTCTTTACATTGAGAGATGCAATTCATACTGAAAGTTGTGCTCTTTGATCTTCATCAATAAATATTTTAAGCCCTTTTCATTTTCAGCAAGCAAGGTTGTATCATCTGCTATATCCACTTCAAAGCTATATCTACTTCAAGAAGTTAAGCATAGAATTATCACATGTTCCAGCAATTCCATTCCTGGGTGGAACTCAAATGAATTGAAAGCAGATATTTGTGCACCAATATTCACAGCAGCATTGTTTACAAGAGCCAAAAGGCTGAAACAACCAAGTGTCTATCAACAGAAGAATAGCATAATTGTATGTGGTACATACATACAATGGCAAAAAAAAATTTTTTTTAACATTTTTAAAAAAATTGGGTGGCCTATAGAGCTGGAAAACCAAATAATATGGAAGGAGCATTTTACCTCCTTGGATTTCACAATGAGAGAGGAGGAGAATTGCTATCAGAATCAGCCCAAGGCCAATTCCTATGCTGAGGTCACACATGCCTCCACAACCAACCTTTAAATTAAAAAAAGTTCTTTTTGTTTTTAAACTTTTTGTTGTGAACTGATAAACGTTTACAGACAAGATCATCCACTCTAAATTCAACAATCACACACTTTGTTTCATCTCAATGATTGCAGTCCCCTCCATGCAACAACTGTTAGCCCACTTCCTCCCTGTGCTTCCTACTTCCATTCCACCCTCACTCCACTTTGTCCTTAGGTAAATGTAGCCCTTTTGATTTTGAATAATTGACCATTCCATGGTGAGCATACCTTGCTAGTGGTTGTTGTCTTCACCCCCTACCCCTATAAACCTATGTGTTGCTTGACTTCAAGTTGGTTGACAAGGGTGAGTTCATTTCCAGATGTGAAGGGTGATGAGGGACATAGTCTCAGGTTCCTCCAGTCTCTTTCTGACCAGTAAACCAAGTCTTTTATTATTATTAACAAAGGAATTCTGGTAGCATAATGGTTATGAGTGAGGCTGCTAACCTGAAGGTCAGCAGTTGGAAACTACCAGCTGTTCTACAGGAGAAAGATGAAACTTTCTGCTCCCGTAAAGATTTACAGTCTCGGAAACCCTACGAGGTCGCTATGAGTCAGAACCGACTCCACGGTACATAACCACCACCACCATCATCTGATACCCTCTTATATGGTCCCTTTCAGGGCAGTTCATTCAATCTTTCTTATCAGTTCTGACACTAACTTCCCACAGCACTCTCTGCTTTTCTTTTGAGTTTTATAAGTCACACAGAACTCAGAGATAATATTCATGATTGTAGGGTTTATTAGGGAATCTTTGTTGTTATTAAGTGACATCAAGTTGGGTTCTGGCACATGGCAACCCTGTATAGTGTTTCTGAGGAATGGCTGGTGAATTTGAACTGCCAACCTTGAGGCTCAAACCAATGTTGCAGTGCAGTGCATTATCCCACATCACCACAACAGGCTACAATTCAACAGGCGTCTCTGGCCCTTGGCCTGACTTCTGCCTTGTTTGGACAATATTACAAAGCTCCTTTAGTGCTGCTGATAAATCCCTGAAGGACACAACATTTCATTTCACGGTAAACTTCAGCCCCAAGGCACTCAATTCTAGCTTTCCCAATTAAATGCCTAGAGGCACTCCAGACCACAGTGAGCCTCCTGGCTGAAGGCATTCCAGCTTTACTGGTTCTATGGGCTGAGCAGCCCACAGCTCTCACTTATGCTGGTTCTTAGTTCTGCTGCTGTCACCTCCCTGCTATTCTTCTGGAGTCACAGTTCTATCTCCTGGGTTGAGAAGGGTCAATTGTGCAGTGATCTAGGCGTCTAAAGGTTACAATCCTTCCTCTCCTGGTTCTCCTTGCTTGTTGCTAAGGACATTCCCCTGCCCTACTTCTGGGATGACTCATTTTAGCTCCGTGTTCTTACCATCACAATTAAACCTTTCAAGAATCATTCACAACACCTAGGACCATCAAGGGAGAAGAGCACAAGCAGAATGTGTGACCCTATCCAGAGAAGCAGCGACTACCAGAGATGAAAGCAGAGATGAGGACATGGAGAGAGGGAGCAGCTGAGGACTTTCGAGTCATGGAAAGAGAGGGACTGAGTGCTGGCGGCCAGGAGGCAGGCTTACAGAATGTGTCCGTTGGTTGTTTAAATGATTGTATATTCCTGAGTGTTTTTGTGTACATCCAAAAACAAAACAACAACCAAAAAAAAACCCAATAACCCCAGAAAGAATAGAAGCAAGTTCTGTTAAATGATGATGCACAGAGGCGATAGTAATCATTAATCATTGCAATGAAATGATGAGTGTAAAACCAATGTTCTCCCATGTAAATGATCACTCAATTCGCAATAAAAACTTAAAAAAAAAAGAATCATTCACAACAGAATCATATCATCCTATCAACATCTCCTCCCACCTTCTCTTACCCAGACTCATCAGAAAAAAAAACAAAAAAACACGTTATTTGGTGGGAGTTACAAAGACCATGGCTAGAAGGGACATATTAAATAGTTCATTTAGCTGCAAAAGCAAATCAGTTTTGTATTCAGCAATTAGTATTTTGTTTCTTGCTATTGGTTGCAATCCCCACACTGTACCATCACATGTCCCACTTCCTCCCTTTGTATCTTGTTTCCATTCTTCCTCCTTTCCTAACTCTTCTGAACTTATTCTTTGGTTAAATCATGCCTGTTTTCACTGTAAATGGTTGATTTCTCTAAGCCCTATCTATTGTTTGAAAATTTGGTTCAGTTTTAGGCCTGAAGAGTGACTAAGGACCATAGTCTCAGGGATTCCAGTCTCTATCCAACTGAGAAGCACTCTATCCAGGACCTCTTAATTGGAATCTCTTTCAGTACAGTTGGTTGTGGTAGCCAGGTACCATCTAGATCTCGTATTTTTGTTCTCAGAGTTGTGGAGACTGATATTTATTTACATGGTCTATTAGTCCACTGGAGTCCTGGTGTTTTGCTATAGGGTAAGCACTGGACTGCTAACCACAAAGTCAGTGGTTCAATCCCATCAGCTGCTCCTCAGAAACCCTATACAGGAACCAACTCTACAGCACTTAATGACATTAGTCCACTGGACTGATTGTTTACACGTCTTCTATTTTCTTCACTCGTCTTTGTTCCAGAGAGGGAGAGATCAATAAATGCACTTAGATAGTGGCTCACCACCTTTTAAGATCCCAGTAGGTATTCACCCAAGTAGGATGTAGAACACTGTCTTTGTGGACTGTTATGCCAATTGACCTCAGTGTCCCCCAAGACCATGGCCTTGAGCCCCACCCAAGGCACAATGGGATATTTTTCAGATTCTGATACAGATAGGATTATGCTATGTTATGCTAAATAAAATAAGACAGACACAAAAGGACAAATATTGTCCTTTTTCATAATTCCACTCATATGAATTATCTAGACTAGCCAAATGCATTGAGACAAAAGTTTACTAGTGGTTACCAGGGATAGAGGGACATGGAGTTATCACTTAAAGAATATTGAGTTTCTGTTTGTGATGATGAAAAATTTTGGAAATAGACAGTGATGATAGATACACAACATTAATATAATTGAATTTTACATTTGAGACAATTTTTTGTTATTTTTATTTTTTCCACAATAATTTTTTTAATTGTTAAGATTGATAGATATAATAGTGATATTTAAAAATATTTGGTAAATACTTAAAACCATATCTATTGGGGATGCAAATCAAAGCATTTAGAAGTAGGCTGATAGGTGGTCTAGGATTTGCTTCAAAAAAACTTCAAGAAAAAAATAAGTGAAAGGAACAAATCAAACAAAATGGGCAAAATATTGACAATTATTGATGCTGGGTCATAGGTACCGAAGGGTTAATTGCAGTATTCTCTCTACTTTTATGTATGCTTGAATTTTTCCATTAAAAAAAAATGTTTAAAACCAAACCTGTGTCTGCCGTGGGGTTTGCCCACATTTTTTTTTTTTTTTTTTAGTTATCAAGGGTCTACCAAAGAGGGGAGAAAAAGGGAAGCAATAAAAATTTGCAGAGGAAGGTGCTATGTTGTTGTTGTTAAATGCTGTTGAGTAGGTTCTAACCTGTAGCAACCCTGTATAGGGTTTCCAAGTAGCGGTGAGCTTGGACTGCTGCCCTTGTGGTTCAAATGGACTTTCCAGTCCAGCACATAAACCCACAGCACTACACCAGGGCTATTAGTTTGTGCTAATAACTATCTCCTCTGAGTGGCTCTGGCAGTCACTGCCCATATAGGGATGGTGGTGGTAGTTATGTGCCGTGGAGTTGGTTCTGACTCACAGCAACCCTGTGTAGCGTTTCCGGGGCTGTAAATCTTTACGGGAGCCGAAAGCCTCATCTTACTCCCGCAGAATGGCTGGTAGTTTCAAACTGCATGTAGGGATCGTGGTAATAAATATGGGAATTAAACCCAGATTTGAAGAGAATTAAAACTAAAAAGCTGCAATTATTTTTGTTGCTCTCCCTTTAGCTATCCAATGGAACATGGTCTCATTACTTCCTGGGGAGACATGGAGATCATGTGGAAGCATATCTATGACCATAACCTGAAGCTAAAGCCCTGTGATGGCCCAATCTTGATCACAGAGCCAGCACTGAACCCGCTGGTCAACCGGCAACAGACCAGTGAAGTGTTTTTTGAGCATCTGGAAGTTCCTGCCTTCTATATGTGCATCCAGGGTGTTCTGGCATTGTTTGCTGCAGGTTTTACAAGTGGATTTGTGGTGAACTCAGGTTCTGGGGTTACCCAGTGTGTACCCATCTTTGAGGGTTACTGTCTGCCTCATGGTGTCCAGCAGTTAAATCTAGCAGGCACTGACCTCACAAACTACCTCATGATGATGCTGAAGGACCGTGGTGTCATGTTGTTTAGTGCTGCAGACAGACAGATTGTTGCAGACATTAAGGAAACCTATTGTTATGTGGCAATGAACTATGAGGAGGAAATGGCCAAGACACCTGATTATCTGGAGAAAGTTTACCAATTGCCTGATGGGAAGACTATCAGGCTCCATGAGGAGCTCTTTAATTGTCCAGAGGCCCTCTTCACTCCAAGTCTCATGAGACTTGAGGCCCCTGGCATTGATAAGATGTGCTTCAACAGCATAATGAAATGTGATACAGATCTGAGGAATTCCTTCTTTTCCAATATAATCCTTGCTGGGGGATCAACCTCTTTCTTGGGTTTGGAGAAGCGACTAGTTAAGGATATCGCAAAGTTGGTACCTGCCAACACTCCTGTGCAGGTTACAGCTCCCCCAGAAAGGAGAATATCGGTGTGGATGGGCGGTTCCATTCTTGCATCTCTGTCTGCCTTCCAGGACATGTGGATCACTGCTGCAGAATATAAAGAGGTTGGACCTAACATAGTTCACCAAAGATGCTTCTAAAGTACCTTTAAAATGCTTAAACCATCTGAGCATATGTGGCAGAGAAGAATTTGGATTTTATACATTTCTGGGAGAACAAAATATTTTAATCACTGGAATGTCTATGTCTCTGATGCATTTTTATAATGGGGAAATAATAATGTTGTATAGCAATCAAATGACAGTAGTCTCTAGTTAAATGCTAGAAGAAATACTATTCTTTATCTTGGAGAATTTACATTTCCCTTAGAGACAAAGTAATTGATGGTAAAACATGTTATATACCAAAAGAGTGATGCAGATGTAAGCTTGTTCAAGTGTGCTCTTGTGTTAAGTGTCATATAGGGTTTCCAAGGATAGGCTGGTAGGTTTATGAGTGCCACACCAGGACTCCTGTTGAGGTATGTTGTTGTTGTCAAGTGCCATCAAGTCGATTTCCGACCTATAGCGACCCTGTATAGGGTTTCCAAGCAGTATCTGGTGAGCTTGAACCGCCCACCTCACAGTTCAAACGGCTTTGCAGTCTGGCACATTAACCCATAGCGCCACACCAGGTTGAGGTATAGGGAAAACAAATTGCTGTGGTAAGGAGAGATTTCATAGAGCAGATCTACCATCTTGGATAGGATGGAGTTAGGATGAGTGGAGAATAAAAAAGGGGTTGGGGGCAGGGATAGATATCCAAGTAATCAAAATGAAATGAGTAATGGAGTAAAAATGAGAAGGAACAAAGCATATTTAGGATATATTTAAAAGACTGGTTTTGTTAAAATAAAGGACCCATGTAGAACAGAGGAAGATCTATGACTAGAAAGGTAGATTAAAACCAGGTCATAGAAAACTTTAAGTGTTAAAATGTTTTCTAGGCAAAGGGAACCAATTAAAAATTTAAAAGCAAGAGACATAAGTATGCTAAGATGAATGTGGTGGTGATTTGTAGATTTGTAGGATAAATTAGACTGGGAAGGGCATGGACATCTAGTGATCAGTTAGGAATCTACTAGTCTATATATAAAGTAGTCAGATCCTGAGTCCTGGTGTGGTGCTGTGGGCTAATGCACTAGACTGCAAAGTTGCCTTGAACTGCAAGGTCGGCGCTTCAAGCTTACCAGCTGTCTGCTCTTCGGAAACCCTATACGGGGTCCCTATGGACTTGCGTGACTCGGACCTCTGAAGAGTGGCTGGTGGGTTTGAGCCCTTGGCCTTTAGCAGTACAATATTTATCCTGCAGGGCACACCAAGGCTGAGATTACAGGTAATGGGAATTTTTAAAAAGGAACGGCAAGCCTTGTTGCCTAATTAGATAGAAATGAAGGGGCAAAGAGCTCTAAAATCATCTGGGTAGCTGAGAGATTGGTGGCAGCCCTGTCAAAAGAGGAGGCTACAAAGTATTTGTGAAAACATTCCCTTATCTGATTAATCCCATTTTCCCAGGAATGTTTGGAAGCCCTCTCATATAACTCAAGTACTTAGTATTTACTCTGGGAGACACTGTGCTAAATCAGGAGTCAAACCCTGCTCTTGTAAAGCAGGCAGGCTAGTAGGAGAATTTGAATTCGTGCCTAAATTAGGATACAGGGTAGAAAGTGATGTAGTGTACTAAGAGGATAAAGTGTTCTGGGGATTCACAGACAGAAAAATACAAGTTGAGGGACTCAAAGAAGACTTTCTGGTAGATTTGACTCTGTGACTGGGCCTTAAATCTAATGGTGAACCCATCCCTCTGAATTTAGGGTAAATAAACATGCAGGTTAGGCCCAGATCCTGCCACCTACCATCTGCATAACTGAAGTAAGTTGTTTAAGCATTCTGATGACTGTAAAAGGCGGATGCTAATCTCTATCTCACAGGATCATTGGTGAGTTCAAATGAGATCATGTACCTAAAGACAGTTTTTAAAAAACAATGAAATATGCCATCTTTTGCTTATAAATTATAAGAATTTTTAGATCCAGCTCAGATGCCACTTCTATAGTGTACAAATTGATGATTTTTTCATGTCTTTTAGTACATTTTACTTGGACTCCTGGTGTGGTGCTTTAGGATCAGCATTGGACTGGAAACCACAAGGTTGGCAGTTCAACCCCCCCCCCCCCCCCATTGCTAGTCAGAAGTTGTATAGGGTGGCTATGAGTCGGAAGTGACTCAAGGATACTTAACGACAACAACTTCTATTTACCATTTAGTTCACAAAGTAATGCATGAAACCTTATCTTTTGGTTTGCTTGTCTTTGTCCCTCAGTGGATAGAAGATAGAAGTTCTTAGAAGACAGGGGTTTTAAGTTTTTCCTTTTCATCTCTGTCCCCCTTCCCTGATGTCTTTGCCAATAAGCATATAGGCAAATATGCATTAACTAGAAGTAGGAATCAGTTAATGCTGTAGAAGGATTCAGGCAGGCAAAGGCACAAAGCCCCACGTACAAGGAGCAGGATATATTTGGCCTGAAGCATTTGTGAGTCTTTTAATGACAATAAACAAGAGTGTTGTTGTTATTAGGTGCCTTCCAGTCAGCTCTGACTCACAGCTAAGAACCCAGTATAGGGTTTCCTAGGAAAGGCTGGTGAGCTTGAACCATCAACCTTGCAGTTCAAACTGACCTTGCAATCCAGCATGTTAGCCCACAGCACCAAACCAGGACTCCTTTGTTGTTGTTGTTGTTGTTGTTTCTGAGGAGCATCTGACCTTGAAGAAACCGTCAACCTTGTGTTTCTAACCGACCTTGCAGTCCAGAGCTAACCCTGCAGTTACACATCAAGACTGCAAGACTGGATAAAGTGTGGAAAATTATTTCCCGAGTGCAAATTCTAACCCATCACTTTAGGATTTCAATATATAGCATATATACAAGGGAGCTTCAAAAAGTTTGTGGAAATTTGAATGAAAAGATTCTGGAATTTTTTGGATAACCTTTTGAAACCCCTTTGTATACATATTTTTTGACTTGTGTTGTTGTTATGTGCCGTGGCGTCGGTTCTGACTCATAGTGACCCTGTACAGGGTTTCTGAGGCTGTAAATCTTTATGGGAGCAGAAAGCCTCATCTTTCTCCCGCAGAACAGCTGGTGGTTTCAAACTGCTGACCTTGTGGTTTGCAGCCCGATTTGTAGCCACTACACTACCAGAGCTCCAGCTCAAACCATAAATTCTTATGGAGTAGTTCTACTCTGCACACATGAAGTCAACATGAGTCTGAAACCACACCACAAACAACAGTTACACATGATCTAAATTAAACTTCAAAGTCCCATTTTACAGATTGAGAAACTGAAATTCAAGGAGGTTAAGAGATTTAAAATTTTAAGAGATCCTGAAGTGACTTGATGGGTTATGCAGGCACACACACAATCCTTAATTTATCTTTTAGGTAGTTAACTGAACAAACAGCATGAAATAGTCTGGGCTAACTTTAACCTGATCCTTTTCAAGTAACTTATTGAAAGGACTAAAATACTGTGAAAATCCCATTTAGTTACCTTTCCCTGCCATTCCAAGTCTCACAAATCAACCCCTGCCTTAACATTTTTACTTTCTTCTCCACGGAGTTCAGCAATTGAAAGAGTTCAACTTTTAAAATCAGCAGGCTGGGTCAGTTATTTTTATAATTGCATCAACATTGCTGTCCCTAGCGACCCTGTATAAGGTTTCCAAGGAGCAGCTGGTGAGCTTGAACCACCGACCTTGAAGTTCAAACAACTTATTAGCCCACAGCACCACATAGGACTCAACTTTAGCCGTTAATAAAAATCCAGTCCCATTTATGATGAATTGTTTCTCCACTTTTAGTGTAATCACAGCACAGCATTACTTTAAAGCAAAATCAATGATCGAAAAGCCTTTATTTCCTAACTAAAGTCATTTACTTAATGTTGGGCCCTGGTGTGGTGCTGTGGAATAAACACTGCACTGCTAAATGCAAGGTCTGCAGTTCAAACCCACCGGCTGTTCTCAGCAACCCTATACAGTAATCGCTGAGTCGGAACCCAAAACTATTTGTTATTGCCTGGGACTTAAGGTAGTAGAGGGGCATCACAGTGAAACCAGGTCTGTAGGAGATGAAAACAGATCTTAAAAAAAAAACAAAAGTCTAAAGCACATCATGTTAGTTTCACTATTAAAGCATTCGAAGAAAAGTCACAAAGATTTGTCGGATGTAACGTGGGGCAAATGTGGAGCACTGGTCATCAGTGCCTGAGATTTTAAGTGCGGTCCATTGTGTTCCACTGGTGTATAGTGGTTAGCTGGCCAGTGCTTAACCTAATCGCCACACAAAGCCTCCACGGCCGGAGATAATTTTTTTTTCAATGTTGTTGTTGTTAGGTCAGCTCTCGCGAGAGGTAGTAGAAAATGAGCCTTGGCCAATCCGCGCGTATGGCGGCTTCCCCTTTATAAGGAGGAGTAGCGCATGTGGCTCAGCCGGGTGGCTTGCGGAGGGTGCTCCCGGGTTGGGTGGTTGCCTTTGCTGTTCTAACCCTAACCGAGAAGGGCATAGGCGCTGTGCTTTTGCTCCCCCGCGCGTTGTTTTTCTCGCTGACTTTCAGCGGGCGGGAAAAGCCTCGGCCTACTGCCGTCTACGAATAGTCCGGACAGACTAAAAAATGTCAGCCGCGGGCCTCTCGCCCTTCCCGGGAACCTGCAGTGGCTCGCCCGCCCAGCCCCGCGCCCCGCCTGTGGCCGCGGTTGGCCCGGGGCTCCACCGGAGTTTGCCAATGCCGCCGTGAAGAGTTGGGCTCTGTCAGCCGCGGGTCCCGCGGGAACTAAGGGCGAGGCTCGGGCCTCCGAAATGCAGGGAGAGAAATGGAACTGTTCCCAACGTGCGTGTGCTTCCCAGAGTTGTGGGATGTGCGCCCGGGACTCGGCTCCGACAAGTGCAGCTTGCATAGGGGATCTGGGGAAGGTCAAGGTGACGGGGTCCTTTGTTCGTATCCATCACGCCTCGCGATCAGTGTTGGCTTGTGGACCCTGAAACTTGGCAATGTGGATTTGATACCTTGTAGGCTCTTTGGGGACGCGAAGGCACCTCT